GGAGGGGGGCAGATTCTGCCCCCCAGTGGGGCGCGGGTTAACTTCTTATCACCCCGCCCTTTTGAAGATCAAAGTGTTCGTTCCGTGTCTTCCCCCCCCCCCCCCACACACACACAATATCATGGCCCGTCCAGTTTCTTTCCATTATCTCGGACTATAGGTAGCCTAATTCAATATACCCTTTAGGTAGGTAACCCACAAAGAGGCTTGAGGATGCAGCGTTAGATTGATTAAACGCCATACATTTAGCGGATCGGGCTCATGAAGGATCATAACTACCTCACAACACGTTTTTTTTTTTCTCGTCATCGTTAGTAACTTCAACCTTGATTTCAACGAAGTGATTTGGCGTGACTGCATATCGCTTTATCGCTTTGTTTCCAGCGTGATCTCATTGATCCTAGGTCATTGATGTTCGCGGGTGTATCCATGCGGCGTATTATCGCTTTGTTTCCATTTTTGGGAAGGAAGGACACGTTTAGTGGATGACGTCTGTCGTGCGACGCACGGCATCCTACCTCATCATATCATACAACCGATCATTTGTCATTTCAAACTCTCAGCTGAGGTTTAATTTTCCAAACAATGGACCAGACTGATGGTGCTTCATCACCTGTCGTCGTCGGCGGATCTCCAGATCCAGATCCGGAGGCTTCAGCATCCATCCCGAAGCCCCGGAAATCGGGCTCGGGGGCGGTGACTGTCAAACTGCCACCGGTCTCATCTCGCTCGCAGCCGAGTTCAAGCAGTCAGACAACCTCTACTCAGGAGACAACTTCAACACCCCCGCCAGCACCGCCGCAGCCGGAGGAACACCCCGCTGCTCAGACGACCAAAGAGTCTGCTCGGGTCGACCAGCCCTCACCGACCGCAGGCTCCCCCGAGCTTGGCGCAGGCGACTCGATGGCAGCTCAGCAGCCTCATCAGCACAACGAACACAAACCGCCTTGGCACACGAAAGCGGCGCTTCTCGCATCGGCATTTCTAGCCTTTCTGGTGGCCGTCGCCGCCTTTGTGTACGTCTTTCAGGACCGTCTGAGCCTGTACCGGCTGCAGGGGCTGGTGCACATCGGGCACGCGCAGGCGCTGCCGCCCGAGTGGCTCGAGCTGGCCGTCTGCTTCGGGCCGCGCCTGCCGGCCGGCGCGCTGCGCGCCAACGTGACCGGCGCCGTGCCGGCCAGCGTCGACGACGCCTGGTCGTACCGACAGCTGTTCGGCGGCGACGGCGGCTTCGACTGGCGGCGGCCGCCGTTCGAGCTGCTGGCCAGGCCGGCGGCGGCCGTGGCCGGGCTGCTGGGCCGGCTGCAGGTCACCACCAGCGAGCCGCTGCAGAATGAGCTGCGCTACACGGACCTGCCGCTGATGCTGCACTACTCGCTCTGCCGCAACTTCTCCGGCTTCCGCTGGTCGCCGTCGCACAGCGAGACCGAGCACTGGCTCGAGCTCTCCATGTCGATGGAGGAGCACGACCTGCTGCTGGACGGCGTCACCGCCAGCTTCGTAGAGGTGTACATGTACCAGCGCGGAAGGTTCAACGAGTTCTTCTCCGTCTCGCCGCTGTTGGCGTATCGTACCGACATGAAGCGGCCGTTGCGACTTCGTCTCGATGCCCAGCTCCACCGCCACATTCTACAGCAGGACGGGCCGTGCACGTCGCACGGTGAGCCCACCTCCTGTCTGTTCTGGTGCCTGATGCGCTCGCTGCTGCGCCGCGCCGGCTGCACCATGCCCTGGATGGACGCGCTGGTGTTCAACATGACCGCGGTGCGCGTGCTGCAGCGCGCCGTTCCCACGCGCCGCGACCCCACGGTGTTCTCCGCGAGGACGGCGCTGCCCTGGATGCGCGAGTTCGCCGCTATGCGGCCGTGCGAGTCGGCCGACGAGTTCCGCACGTTGTTCCGTCTGGTGGACTCTCTGCTGCTGTACGAGACCTCGGCGCCGGACGCCGCGGTGCAGCACTGCCGCACCGAGTGTCGGCCCATCTGCGATGACCTGGTGACCCGTCTGCGGATGGTCGGGGGGACGCTGGCCGAGTGGCACAGCAGCTCGCTGCTGCGCATCGAGCTGCCGCACACCATGCCGGTGCAGCACCGTCGGCGCCTGTTCGAGACGGCCGCGCTGCTGCTGGAGGTGGCCGGCCTGCTGGCCTTCCTGTTCGGCGCCTCGGTGCTCGGCGTCTACGGCAGCTGCTTGTGGCACGCCCGGCGCCTGCTGGACCGCGCCGGACTGCTGGAGAGCAGAGGGAAGGAAGACGACGGGGCTGGTGACGACACAGCCCTCGTCGATAAAGGCGGCAGACCGGAGGCGGGCGACGAGGGGCCGGTCGGGGGTGTTGGCGGCGAGCACGGGGAGGCAGAGGTCAGGGACGGCTCAGTGGGAGGCGTTCCCGGAGAGTCCAGACGGAACATCACATAACGGTGAAGGCCATATGTATTAATTATTACCCTTGTCAAATAGAACAAAACAAAGGTGGAACTATAATCTTGAGTGATTTTGATAAATTAAAAAACTTACGGCGAATCATGCTATCTCTGCCCATCTGCAGTTGGCAGGGTGTCGGTGATGGCCAGCGGTCACTCGAAAGGTCAAGCCAGATCATCATACCAACAGTTTTTCGACAATAACTTTTGAGGAGAAATGGTAGAGCGATTAAATACCTGAAATGTGACGCAGCTTAACAAATAACAATATGGATAGATATGCAGTACGACGTTTTCGGTCAGGTTACTTTATCTCATATAGTTTGATCATTCAAGGAGTGACCAGTAGTTTCCGTTATAAGATGGCTGCCATAGACGAAAACGTCAAGGTCAATTTTGAAGGTCGCCGGGGTCGTCTGATGTCACCATATTCTGAACGGTCTTTCTTTTTTTTTCTTTTGTTGGGTTAGGCCCTTTCGGTCCAATGAGACCATTTCAGAGCCGGGAGGATGATAGGATATAGGGGGAGATATTGGTCTGGGCAGGCACCCTAGTGAGTCGCCGGGGCTGAGCCCGTCCAGAGGACAGGCCACCCAGCCCCAAGGCACTCACTGCACCCGGCTACGGGGTGCGCTCCCTCGGGAGCAGCGGTGCCGCTCCAAGGGAGCAGCCCGCATGAGATAAAGTTGCCTGTCCAGCCCGGAGGGGGGTTGCGGCGTGGAGGAGAAGGATTTCAGTATCCTGAGGATAGAAGCACGGAACGATTCTGAACGGTTGATGAAATCGCATACGGTGAATTGACTGGTGGTGTTTTTTTTTCTCGATCGGCTCAGTAGGTAGCTGCTAAGCTATGGGGGCGACTGCCTTAGATGGAAACGTCAAGTTGGCCCCTCAAAGTCACCAAGGTCACGTTAGGTCACCGTATTCGAAACGGCTGACGAAATTGCATGCAGTGAATAACCTGGTGAGTGGTGATGAAGCTTAATGATCTCAGGTCAACGAAAAAAAAAAAACGGAATCGGTACCTTTACATGCTATGACACTCGGTGAGCCTACATAGATACCCTGCACTGAGTGCAGGTTTTAATAAAATCTATGCAAAACTACATTTTATAACAAAATAAAGCTGATTTAAGTATTAAGGTCTAGCTACACTATCCGCGATGCGGTTTGTCGTATTTTGTGAGAAATCGGTACGCAGGTCAAGTTCAGCTGATAGGAAATACACAGGGTCGACGATCGTAAATACATACATACATACATACATACATACAAACATACATACATACATACAAACATACAAACATACATACATACATACATACATACATACATATACATACATACATACATACATACATACATACATACATACATACATACATACATACATACATACATACATACATACATACATACATACATACATATACTGGGGTCACGCAGATTCAATCAAATCCCGGATGTTCAGTATACAGGAAATGCCGGATTGTCAGGATTGTCCGTACCGCTATGAAGTCCACAGCTCCGAACTTTTTTTGCAGAATTTGCGTGCTTGCGTAACATGAGAGAGTTGTTGGCGCACTTAGTGGCGCACCGTCTCAGTATAAATGACGTAATTGATAATTGTGATTTCATTTTACATGTTTTATTGACATTTTATTGACAAAATATATGTTTTAGACATAGGCGCGGACACCGGGGGGGGGGAGGAGGGCAGTGGCTGTGGGGGCAGTCTGCCCCTTCCCCCAACTCTGGGGCTGTTGGCAGACTGCCCACAGGTGCCCCATAATCTTTGAGACGGAATACCGCAACTTTTTGCAAATGTTTTCTTTTTTATTGAAAAAGCCAAGGGGTGGAAAATAAGTGACCTAAAACCGCGAAGAAAACTAGATTTGGGGGTACCCTAGGGCCTAGGTTGATCTCTATTATGGTGTGCCCCTCCCCCCATCCGGTCTGAAAGTAGTTCCAGCGCCCCTGGTTTTAGATATGAAATAAATATATTTTAAGTACCTGCCGTGATTGCACTCATTATTTGTATGCCTGCCTACGTCAGCGTACCTATGACAATTCACGGAAATTCTGGAAAAACGCAGAAACTGATATCAAGGAATTTCCGGAATCACGGATCTGCAAAACACGCACGTAATTTCCTGAATGGTCACGTGTAGCTTGACCTTTATTCTGTAGATGTACCGGTTTCGTGACCTGGGCAAAATCTTATAAACGCCGTGGAATGGATATGGCAGCACTGACTGAAGCTCAGCAGCAGAAAACGGCTATCAAATGCAACATGGTTTTCACGCATTTCAGTCCATCGTATGTTGACGATCCAAAGAATCATTTCTTTGACTCGGATAACCGTTTGTCAGCCCGGGCGCCCAAAAACCCCAATTCATCATCATCACACCGTTTGTCAGCACTGGTATCGCTGTAAATGTTACCAAATACCGTGAATAGAATAGGACGGCATTTTATTTACGCTTTTACGTTTTTTACGCTACATCTGAAAAAAAAAACTTAGAGGGGCTGGTTTCACCCCCCCCCCCCTGCCCGCCGAGGGCTATAAGTGGCATTCAATGTACGGCCGAGCGACACTTAACACAATACAAAATAAATAAATGCATAAATAAACGGCTTATGATGACAACAACGGTAACAGCAGCAACAACAGCAGTAACAGGCAGCAGCAGCAACAACAATAATAACAAAGAAATATTAACAAAAAACAGCTGACGATTGGCATTTTATAGGCCACCGTTAGCTATCAGTAAAAATACCCAATAGTTGGCTTGAAAGTCTCCATACAATGGCAAGTGAGAAGGTGCGCACTCGACAGCAGTGACTGCAGAAGTCGAGTGGCTGCAGTGACTGACGGGGACTGCAGTGTCAGCAGTACTTCCAGTCCATATGTCTCCGGGGCCTGCAGGCCATCGGGCACTCCTTCTGGACGGTCAGCGTCACCCGGGTGTACTGCGAGCCGACAAACTCTGTCAGGTTGGCGCGCTTGGTCGGGTACGGCTGAGTGAGCGGAAAGTTTTGACACTGATAGCTGTCGTGGGACATGACGTCCCCGGTTCGGACCAGCTCCGGCCACAGAACTGTCCTCAGCAGACGCTGGTCCCACCAGAGCTGAAACAAAAAGACACGATTATAGGTGCTGTTAGAGACTATCACGTATCATTTTTCAATATCGGGGATCAGTATCAGTGCGGCAGAGTTGTCCAAAATTTACAGCACCACTGAGAGGACCAATACTTAACAATAAGTATCATCACAGGCTACTGATGCGAGTAATCATTATGTTTTAGGACCTTGGTAATCTAAATCATTTTTTTTTCAAGATAGATTAATATTTAAACATACGATAAAATGGGACGATTCCCTCCGCTTACCTTTCCGGAAGGGTTAACTGCCTTGAGCATCTGCTGCCTGAGGATGCGGTACTTGCCGTTGTAGCGGTTCCACCCGCCCCACATGCCGGCCAGAATCTCTGCTCCGTGCCACGGATGATCCCGCATTACGTGGAACGTTTTGTTGGACTCGAGCCACTCATTCACAGCGTCGCGTTCTCTCTGAAAACGGTCCAGAAATGTTTCTGAAGTAAAATATGAATAACCGTAGGTCGTTTGAAATTGACAAACAGTTTTCGTTAGAATGGTGTTTTTCTATAATTGAAGAACAACCGCGGAGCACAATGGAAGCATCGCTTCGCGACGTGTTGTAATTGTGTTTGGCTTTCAATTGGAAGCAAATATAAACCTTTCTTTGTGTATATTTCAGCAAAATTTGCTTCAGTCCTTGGCGACAGAAAAACTGTCACATTTCAAAATCATTTGTCTCACCTTAGTCAGGATGGAGTCGAGGTCCCGCATCACGAACCGTTCGACCGATTCGTCCGCGATGACGGCAAACCGCCACACGGTGGCAGTCTGGCTACTGATGTCTCCCAGACCCGGCAGCCGACGCACGTCACAGAAATCCACGTTCGGAAACCTACAGGTGAACGACAAGATTTACAGTCGATGGGTTCGCGGTGTGTTGATTGTCTTACGCATTACCATTATGATCAGGTGCTCGAAGTAGGTTACTGGTTTTGGGGGGACGGTCATCCCCCCTCAAGGGCGCTCGGATGGAAGGCTCAGTGAAGCGTGGGTAACAAGTGTAACATTATAGTAACATTTGTGTAGATATGGACAGGAAATACCTGATATACTCGTAACTCATAACTCGTAAGTCATTCTGACTTCTACTTTAAGACACACACATTTCCCTGCGCACTTCTAAGCACTTGACTAAAATCTGAATGCAGGGGTGAGCCTCCACGTGACACTGAATGTAGGCGCACTAAGCAGCATGCATCTCAGCCCAAAGGCACATGTTCAACCATCCCCATCCATACACATCCCTGCGTAATGACTGCGCGAAGCGACAGCCGACAGACCTGTTGTATCGAGCAAAACGTACCGTAACAGCCCTTTAAAGGGACCCTCCCACCTTCAAAAAAGTTTATGAATTGGCATGAAAGTGATGTCGCTCGGTTCAGAAAGAGCGAAAACGAATATCTACCAAATTTCACCGAAAAATATTCACCGGTTTTCAAGATATTAGACTTTTACTTTTGTTTACTTTTTGGGGATCTCCGCTATTTCTAGCGACTTTATTTTAGAAGTGCGGCGTTTGCGGCAGATGTTGCGCGCAAATAGCATATACCACCGCGTGCTACAAAACGTTTTAGTCAAACATTTAAAACTCGTTAGATATTTGCGCTGACGTCACACATTCAGAGGGGTATTCCTAAGCATTAGCCCCTCTGAATCAAAATGCTGCAATTTTGAAATTCAATATTTCCGATTTAAGGCATTTCTCGATGTTGTGAGTGCCGAAACCGGTAATTGTGAGCCAGGGACCCCATTTTGGCTATCTCAACTCAAATCTAATGTTAAGGTGGGAGGGTCCCTTTAAAAGCATGCTTAATAAAAATATACAAGCTGTTGCGATTTCTCCACAAACAACACAAGCCACCAACACTGGCATGGGATGCGACACTGCATTTTCTACCACCGACAGTGAACACAATGATCATTTTTTTGCGAAGCTGTGGCTCAACCAGGAGCGAGGCTGTATCACTAGAAGCTGGCTCAAAGCGCAGAGCTATTCACCGCGCCCTCCACAACACATTAAAATTACCGGCTCTAAGCATAGCGGCTCTTTAAAGGTAGTGTGCCAGCTTTCTTGGACCGTATGGAGTTAATGGCCCAGATAAGGAGAACCGGATTTTTAGAACTTATCCATACCTTCAAAACTCATGGAAACGTCTTAAATTCTTCAAATTTTGAGTACCCCAGTGCGAAATTCGCCCCGACGGGTTGTCGGTCGTACCCCAACCACATTTCACACCACTATGAACAATAAATGCACACACTGAAATCGCTATTACCGATATGTTCATCCAATCAAGTTTCGATAAACCCGTTCATCATCATCTCCTGCGGTTTCGAACACGCCTGTTAGGTGGCTTCTGATGCTCGTCGAGGTCGGAATTTCCAAATACGCGTGGTGCGTCGGGCCGCGCGCTCTGACTTCGGCCATGGATGATATAACACTGGATTGGTGTCTCGTGGAAATTAACATTGGGATCCGCGACATTGGGATCAGGCCTGCCATCTAGCGAGAGAATTATCGTAAGTTAGGAGCAAGCCGAGTGAACGCCATCTCTCAGCATTATGACACACGTGGGTGTGGTGTGTTAGTTGGCTTGAAGTGCATATTCCCACGAGTTGGAGGTAATCTTATTGGACCTGAGACGACAAAAAACGTCTTAAATGCTTGAAAGCCAAAAACGTCAAGCAGTCTTTAGGTAATAACGAAAATAAAATGTGTAAGACGGTGTGTATTGAAACGACCAGTCACATCGGCTTGTACGACCTTTTATATGGTTATTTACTCACAATGGTACAGCAGTTTGACAATATGTCACTTACATATTTGGTAGGTTCATTCCTTCTTCTCCGAATTACGCCAGATTTTCTTCATCTTAGTTAATGTTACGGCACGTGTCACGTGCCAACTTAGGGGTGTCGAAATTGTTCCACATAAAGTAACTCCGCAATGGCTGGGCCAATTACAGTAAAACTTCGTCAATAGTTAGGCGCCCAGTGGCCAATGCATTTTCATGTGTCACTATGGGGGTGCTGGTGCCGCTTCCATATCTCAAGAACGGCTGGGCGGATAACACTCAAACTTGGTACATAAATGTCACATCGATGCTCGCACTGCATTGATCAGTGCTTACATTGGTGCAGAGCTGTTAGGAAAACGATGAAATGAGATGCGTGGTGTTTATGCCTTTCTTTTCCAGCAGCTGATTGATTCGCAACAGGAGATCCTTGTTTGCAAAGGCTTCGTCTCCCTTTTCCACCCCTTGTTTAAAATAGCATTAACAATGTACGAAGAAGATCACACAAAAAAGTTGTTTTAGGCAGCTATCTTGGGCCAGGGCTGCGAAGTTGTAGTCAGAGCCAGCGGTTCTGTTCCGACTCGGAGTCGGTTGATTTTTAAAAGCTGTAGCCCGAGTATGAGTCGAACGTCACCGAAAAGTCATCACTCCACAGACTTACCAGGGCTGCAGGCGGAGTCAGAGTCGGAGTCTGTGTGAATTGACAGTTCTGCCCGGAGGAGTCGGAGTCGATATTTGGATACCGGAATCGGAGTTGGAGCCAAAGTTACTGAAATTTCATCGACTACGCACCACCGGTTGGGTCCTTTTCATAGAGCGTCTTGAATGACATATTGAGCGGCAATGACGTTAGCAATTCCGTTTAAGTTTTTCATTAGACTTATAGATAGTACTTACGTTCGTTTTGTTCTTTGATCGGACAATTTGTTGATTTAGGCCAAGTAAAGACTCATGTGAAAAATAGCGAAAACGACACGTGCTGGCGAAGTCTCCAATAACTCCCTGTTTCACGATTTAATGAGGAAATAACATGGAACTGCTTATCTTATTACTGACCCTGCACATAAATCTATTAATTTCTTCGCTTTTACTGACATATAAAGACATAACCTTTTGAAAAATTGCACATCAAGCCTGCTACTTCACCACACTCCCGTGTGTCACAATGCTAATCAGCGGCGTTCACTCGGCTTGCTCCTAACTTACGACAATTCTCCCGCTAGATGGCAGGCCTGAGCTCAATGTCGCCAAAAACTGCGAAGACACCAATCCATTATTATCTCATCCATGCTTCGGCCAAGAAAAATGCGTCAGCTGATCATTGTCATTTCTGCCACTTGCGTGTGGTGAAATGGGGTCATAACTTATAAGACGGCTTTTTCATATCAATTATTTTACAGAAAATCATATTTCAAACCATAAATAATGTTCGACAGCCAAATAAAAGAAACAATACCAATACGGGCTTACAGTTTAAGGCTCGACATTGTGTTGTCTACGATTAGACAGCTGATAACTCATTCCCGTACGTCGTATGGTCGTAACACTAGAATGACCTTTGCTTATTGTCACAAGTGCGCCGCATTCGCGATTGTTGCCCGACGCCTGTTTGCAGGTGAGCCCACTACAGTTGTTATACATATCTAAAAACCGAAAAACTTTTAGGCGAAAAAGGCACTATTCCAGGCCCATTTTTGATTTTTTTTTGCGATATTAGGTAAAAACAGAAGCTTCTTATCCTAGGAAAAATAAAATGGGAAATCTTTCAAAGGTGGCACACTACCTTTAATGTGCTGTAAAAAGAATCAGACCAGTATACAACCAAAATTTACATGCTGTAAATATGTAAGCTGATGTAATGTAATGTAATGTAATGTAATGTAATGTAATGTAAGCTGATGCCCAATGTAAGCTGATGTATTCAAAACAACAGAGATAAAGTAAACTTACTGGCAAGTGACTTCGCAGGCTGTCTTGTTCCATTCTGCGGAGCTATCTTTGCCGTCGTGGAAGACGCGCATTGTCCATCCTGGGTAAAACTCAAGTGAACGCATCGCGTTCCGCTCGATGCCGCTCAGGTAAGCGGAGACGTTGGTGCCAAAGAAGGTGTAGGCAAGCACGTTCTGTCGCGCGCCGCGCCGGTCGGCGGTGGGCCCGCAGTTGGAGACGATCGGCTCGGGAGGTTCGCCGTCCTCCGGCCTCCGCCACGGCCGGCAGGCGCACGGGCACGCCTGCGAGCAGTAGACGGAGCTGAGCGGCTCGCTGCTGGAGCTGCCCAGCAGGCTGCGGAGCTGACTGTGGGCGGCACTGCGGATCCGACTGTAGTGCTGCCCCAGCGCGGCCGGACTCATGTGTCCGGATCCGGCCGAGTGCAGCAGCAGCATGGAGCCGGCCAGCAGCGCGACCAGCAGCACTGTGGTCCGGCCGCTGAGTCTCTGCGGCAGCCTCCCCACCGCCAGCGGGATACGGAACCCACGACGGTCATGGCTCGAACTCTGCCGATGAGGATATGAACGTGAGGCTTCTTATAACTTCATCAGTTGGTGATTCAGCGGCGCCACAGTGTTTGTGACGCTGCTTGTCAATTAAGTTTACGAGGAAACGTGTACCCAAAGTCACACGTTTTTTAAATCGCCGGTCATGTGCCAGAGGCCGAGGGCTTGTTTGGCAGTAGACCCGCTAACTTTTGTGAACTTGCTGACCCTTACGGACGTTGATATCGTTACCTACACTAATGCTGTTTGATGGGAATTTAGGGAATATGCTGGGGTTCAGTTTAAGGGCTTGCTTGTACATTTCTTCACTGACAGGACAGCAAGAAGTTGCACTGCCGTTCAAGCCTTTTCCTATATGCATTATATCCATTATAACAAAAAAGGAATGTGCCGCCAAAAAAAAAACAAAAAAAAAACAGACGCTCTTAACCACCCAGCCGTAATAAACGAGCAACTCTTCAATTATGGTTCAATGCATCGCATCTGAGCGCTACTGCCTTCTAAATAATAATACAACAGCATACCGCTTGGCACCATGGAACTACCCCATGCAACTATTACCAGTAAAACGCCTTTTGGGCGAAGAACGAGTGAGCTACGAGAGAGTGAGCCCTGCACGTGCGGAAGGGCGAGAGGGTACTTGCAACTGGCTTTTGTACTGCACCCTGGTCACTAGCAGTGTGCCAAATTTGAAGGCAATCGACCCAGCTGTTCCCGAGATCTAGAAGCGGCACCCTGCGTGCGACGTGCAAACTGGGTCCAAAGTGACTTTTGCACGGCACCCTACCAACCGGTCCCTGACTGCTCACCAAATTTGAGCGCAATCGGCCCAGCCGTTCTCGAGATCTGGAAACGCCCCCTGCACGTACGCACGTGCAGTAGCACCCTAACCCTAATGCATGGGAATGGAATGCCTAGTGGGTTCCTACCTGCATGCCAAGTTTCAGCCAAGATTACTTTACTTATAGCGAAATCGCCCCAGTAATTTCAGAGTAATTGTAATGAAAACAAATTTGGCACCTCTTATTGCTGCATTTTGCACGTGCACTGGGGGTGACCCACATGCATCGAGAGTATCCGATGTTCGGTAAAAGGGATCCAACTATCCTATAAAAATTACTACAATTCAATCACCTAAGTAGTTACCGAGATATAGACCTCCCAATAGCGCTAATTCTGTAGAACTGCTTGAACACCCTTGGCTTTTCACGAGGCGCCACGACGGTCTCCCAAATGCATCAAGAATAGCCAACCACGGGGTAGAAGGAATGGAACTACCCAACAAAAAAAAAGACCGCATGCCAATCGGCCCAGCGGTTGCTGAGTTATAAGCCTCTCAAAAGCGTTACAGGCCGGGTCGTGCCGGGCCGGGTCGGGCCGGTCATACTGATATTTTTTCCGTTATGTTGCAAAGACTTCGCTTCGCTGGCTCGCTCGTTATCATATGATAAGTACTAAAGTATTCTTCTTCTACATGTCCACGTCAAGATTCCCATGGGTTTGTCCTCTTCATGTTTCAGCGTCGTGTGCCAGCCAGCTGCACTGAGCCAGTAGTTACATCGCACGTATATAATATCACCTTGGTTAAGTGCCGGAGATCTCGGTCTTTTAGGTCTATAAAGTACGAAGCCAGCAATGCATTGCACATATGCCGCTGTGTCATTTCACGCACATGAGTCAGTGAAATGAGCTATTATAAAGAACTGTCGTGAATGCCGTAAAACTCAGTATTTTGTGGTCTGGTGGGATATCTGAGAAAACCGCATTGTCTGAATAATGCGGAGTTAAATGGCCCATAAATGAGCAGCTGAGAAATGAGACTTAATAGTCGTATTTCGCAGTAAGCGGTTCTCTTTTTCATAACGCGGACGGCGAGGCGGGGGGTTGGTACTTACGACCCCGCCTGGCGATTGGCTCCTTGGCACCTAGAAACGCCAAATTTACAGAGTAGGTGGGCCCATAGGAGATCTCACCCCTGTGCAAATCTGGTTGTTTTAGGTCAATATTTAGGGCGGTTTTCTTTTGGGGGGCATTAATGCAAAAAATTCGCTAAAACATGTCAAAAGGTTTTTGCCTATAACTTTTTAGCCAGTAAAGATAGAGTAAAAATAAGAGCACCAGCGAACTCCGCACGTTCGTGCGCATCGGATGGTATAAATTGTTACCAATTTCAGTGAGCTTAACATTTTCATAAAAAATTAAGTAAAAAGCAATTAACCCGCGCACCGACGGGGGTCTGCGCCAACTTCGTACCGACGGGGGGGGGGGGCGGATGACCGCCCCCCCCCTGAGATCTCGAGAACGAAGCAAGGTAGCGACAAGCGGTAAATGGCAAGGGATACGCACGGACAAGGTCTACAATTTTTACTAAGGTCATTTTCAGGTCAGGTCAAAGATGACGTCACAAGGGTCAAAAAAGTCAAAACGGCGGCGCTAGGTATAGGGAGAGTTTTTCTCGAATAACTTTCAAACTAGTCAATATAGGAACAAACTAAGGGCATCATCGCGATCCTCTGGTCAATCCGCATCGAATGATATATATTTTGACCTCGAAAGGTCAAGGTCAAAGGTTGACCTCAGGTCACGTGACCTCGAGGTCATCATGTATATCATTCGATGCGTCTTGACGAGCTGAACACAATGAGACCATCCGCGCGGCTGTATCTTGTTCCTGTACAGAGTTATTGGCAAAAAACCTTTGGTGACCTTTGATGACGTCACATGACCTTACAGCTGCCCAACAGCAAAACAGACCTCAAGGTAGTGAAGGTTGATCGTATATGAAGTCATGTATGGTATATGGGGCCATTCCGACCCGTTTTAGTGGTAAAAACAGGGAGTTGATTTTTCCCCCATTGACTTATAATGGGGAGGTCGCGAAATTGACCTGACCTTAGGTCACCGACATCTAAATTCCGAGATATACAAATATAGCTACTAATGACCTAATAACATCCTGCGACTTTCAAAGGCCTCCGACATCTATACTGTAGCTCTGGCACGGTGACAAAGTTGCAAAAAGGTGACTTGAGGTTGGGTCATTCAAAGTGACCTGGTGACCTGACCTTCAAAGTTAGGAGGTTCAAACTTCAACACCATGTGTAAAATTGATGAGAAAATAGTCGTACCAAATTTCGCGGCGCTACGCGCCGCGGTTCTCCCGCTATTCGCGAAAAACCGCAGGGGGGGGGCGGATATCCGCCCCCCGTCGGTGCGCGTGTTAAGTTCAAGTTCATCAAAGTGCATCATATCGCTTATCATTCGAATCTCCTGATCGCAAGGAACACAAAGGCACCATTTTTGAAGCCCTAGCCTCATTGTGTGTCAAGTTATTAGCAAAAACGTGGTTTCACTTTTCATAATAAATTATATTATTACATCATAAACGGATGACACAAAAAGACGGCAACATAAAGCAAGCAGGACACATCAATCACGATGTTGCAATGTCGGCGTTGTTATGTGCGACCCGTCCGGCCAGGCCGGGACGGCGCCATTGGCTATGACCGTCCCGGTCCCGGGGAGATCTGGTTAGCTCGCCGTCCGGGGAGCTCTGTGGGATAGGTACCTCCCCGGAGCTCCGGACGGGCCGCCGCCCCCGCCCGCGCCGCCCCGCGTCACACGTGCCACGGGGCGGCGCCCCTGTCACCGGCCGGGCCTGCGACGCGCCAGCTCGTTTGAGCGGCGCGCCGCAGGCCCTGCCGGCCAACCAACACTGGCTAGAGCCGGTCGACGGGTTATCCCGGATGGGTTAGGGGCGGGCCGCGGCGGCGTTCTCCCGAGGATCAAAATGCCGTCAGTACACACAACCGGCCAACATTTTCTTTTTTAATTTTAAAGATCTTTGCGCAATATCCATACAACGATCCAGGCCCGCGGCCCGCAGCGGCGGCGCCGGCGGCGGAGCCGCCGTGGCGGAGGCGGAGGCAGAGGTGGAGGCAGAGGCGGCGCCGGGCGGCCGCAGCGACAGCGCGCTAGCGGTAACAGAGCCCCCTGGGTGAAAAGAATGCGGCGTCTGGAGGAAGCTCATCATCGTAATCGATGTGATGCAATGTGGTTAATTTGAACTTAGTTAATTAATTAAAGTTTACTTAATAACTAGGAAAATCTAAAGTACACTTAAGCAAGCAAACTAGTATATCATTCGACGCGCCTTGACGTGCTGAGTTCACTGGTGCTTTTCTTTTTGCTCTATCTTAATTAGATCAAAAGTTATAAGCGAAAAACGTTTGACCTGTTTTTAACAAAAATTTTACATTTATACCCCCAAACCCCCCTAAATATTGACCTAGAGCAACCAAACTTGCACAGGGGCGAGAAATTTAGGGGGCCCACCTACCTACCAAATTTGGTGTTTCTCAAGGAGCCATAGGAGCCAATCGCGAGGGGGGTTGCATCAACCAGGCCGTGTTATGAAAAATGCCCTGCCAGGGCGAGGGTTAAGCTATTTTGCAGAATTGGCAATTTTGAGAGTCCTCTATCTCGACAGCCGCTTGGGCAATTGACAAGCGGTATTCTTTTTTTGTAAGGTAGACTATGTACAGTCCTCAGCAGACTGCGTGGTAGGTGTTCTTTTTCCGATAAAACCGATAATAACTCAAAGGCTATGTTATCAGTCGGTCGGAACTCACTGCAAATAGATGTGCCATGCTCGACTCCTTCGATTAGGTCTGTCACTAATCGAAGTATACGCCTTGTGTGGCAACAAAATGCAAAAGTTTGTTTTGGGGGCAAAGATAAACTTTTGGGTTTTGTTGCCAAACTGGGAGGAAAAGGAATACGATGATAATGCCAATCTAGGGTGCGGAGTCTCGCGCATCTTGCTGCTACGATTTCCGAGTGACCGATAGCATACTATTCGCGTTATTCTCGGTTTTATCGAAAAAAAGAATACCTACCACGCAGTTTACAGAGGGCTGTACATCCCCCCTACCAGACATCGGATACTCTTGATCTATGTGACTGGCCCCCACTACACGTGCAAAATGCAAAAAAGAGGTATCATATTTGTTCCCATTTCAATTAAATTGTCGCCCCAAAAGGTGTTTTACTGATGATATAAAGTACGCAGTAGCCGTTTTCACGACGAGCTGTCTGGAAAGTACACCTAATTTGACCAAATCTGCACCCAATCTCTTTTACAGCAAATATCTTTATTTCATGAATTTATTTCAGTGTTTTAATCGATGATACTCTCTGTTAATATGACAAAGCAGACATATAAGCAATTACATAGTACAACCCTAGCTGATAGCTACTAAGGGACACACTGAACCTAATTTGACCAAATCTGTACCTAATCTGCACCATATGTGCACCAAATGTGTACCAGATGGCCATCGTGAAAACGGCTAGTGCCTACTTCACAATAAATGTAGGTCGCCTCACAAAGGCATATGGCTAATATCATTGTAAGATGAAACTCGAGCATGCTTCGCTTGCATATTATATGATGGTTAATATGCATGCAGGCAAAACATTACCATTTGTGATTATGCTTTAGCATATGCCAAAATAACAAGGTGAATGGATATTTAAAGAAGCCCTTTCAGGTTCCACCTTCAAAAACGTTTATCAATTAGCATAAAAGTGATGTGCCGTCGTTCAGAAAGATAAAAAAATGGATAATGGATATCTGCCAAATTTCATCGACAGATATTCACACCAGTTTTCATGTTATTACACTTTACGTTTGTTTGCTTTTTGGGACCTCCGCTGTTCCTGTGACGTCACTGCGAAGCAACAATTTGACATCCATAAAGTGTGGCAGATGTTGCGCACAAAGCAGTATATACCACCATGTTCTACCAAAGGTTTTAGTATATGAATAAAAAATCGCTAGATCTGCGCTGACGTCACAAAGTCTAAGGGGGCATCAAATAGGTCCCTACATTAGCCCCTTAGAATTTTAAAACTGTAACTTTGAAATTAAATATTTCGGAATTAATGTATTTCTCGATGTTGTGAGTGCCCAAATCGGTAATTGCAAGCCAGGGATCCCAATTTGGCTCTCAGCTCAAAGCTAATGTTAAGGTCGGATCACGGATGGCCACTTTAATGACGCTGACTGAGCAGTGGCACTGCTTAATAATAGGAAGGCATTTACAAACTTACTTATCTGTAAAGTTAAATTATTTCGAGACGCAGTGAAATGCAGGAAAAAAAAATAGCCAGTCACGCACTGGGTGCGGCTCGCCACCTGTCCCATCCATCTTGCTCCCACCAGGGCCCCATGGCTATACTTTACACTGCGACCTTCTGCACTGAATGTGAGCTCTCTCTTACCGTTGGCCAGAGGCTGCTGCAGATTATGCAGAGGATTATGGGACGGGCGGTACGCGAGACGGGCAATACGCGACAGATGCAACGAGATAGGAGATTTGAATATTTACCAGATTGAGCACGGATTGCATGTAGCGGTCGAGGGGCGGACTCGAGCGGCTATTTATATACAGGTCACGGGCCACGGCCTCTCTGCTTGATGACATTAACATTTATCTTTGTGTCACAGATCCATTGGAAAACCCTTGTAGCGTTTTGTTACGCAGCATTACATTTCACCGATACTTAGCATTTCACCGATACCCCGACCATTTCAACACCCGTACCGACCAATCCAGCACACGTATCGACCATTCCAGCACACGTATTTATCGTTTCAACACCCGTACCAACCGTTCTACCACCCGTACCGACCGTTCCAATACACGCACCGACCGTTCCAGCACACTTACTAACCGTTCCACCACTGATATGATAGAACCATTTCACCTCTCATACCGACCGTTCCTCAATCACTATATCCGTTCCACCACTCTCATTAACCGTTCCTGCATCCGTTCCGACCGTTCTACCACCCTTACCCCCGTTCCAACGCCCATACCGACCGTTCCAACATTCGTGCTTACCGTTCCTCCGCTGCTACCTCCGTTCCTGCACCCGCTCCGACCGGTGTCTTTACCTGCGAGTCCGCCTCCGAGGTGATCAGCTGCGCTCCCTCCATGGCGTCTCCACGGCGACTGGCGCGCCGGGCCGACCCCGAACACACGGGCCGGCCCGGCGCGGCGGCCCGTGCGTTCGTCGCTGCCGCGTACCGGCCAAAGATTTCCGCGAGCCATTGCTCACGGATGAATGGCAGTGATCGCATTTTTGGCCGGATGTGAGCAGCGCCGATCATGTTCAGATATGTGTTCAGTGCTCAGCATCATTAGTCGCAGCCCGCAGGTGAATTCAGGTGAAGTTCCCGTGGATTTTCGTGCTTTCGTGGAATCTGGCCAAGTGAATACGCCCTATACAGGGTGTCCCAAAAAAGTGCCTCCAATTATAAAGATCGACAGTATTTCTGCAACCGTGCATCATTTGGGATGCTTTGGGAAGCCGTTCATTACAAAGAGCAATCAAACTCCATCCAGATAAGCCGTAATTCCGTTACATATCTCGCACAACACGGCCAGCATTGTGAAAAGCACAATTCAATATCAAATTCTAGGTGAAACATTTAGCGGTATCAGATATGGTCGAAATTTCTTCGCATGTGACTACATATTTCAGTTTACGTGCGTTTACTCATTCTTCGTGCCGTGTTTCACCCGATCTAGTAACACATTTTGTTCTGGTCGTTCTCAGTGTAATACGTATTCGTTCAGAGCCACACTATAGGTAGCCTATTAGAGCCGAAATTGACCGTTCCTTCCTAACAAGGGGTCTTTCATTATCGTGGACATACGGTTTTGGAGATATAAGCAATATTAGTAGGGGCTCACTTTTCTGGGACACCCTGTATAAAACACTTAAGATGAAATGAAACAAAGGAGTCCAATCAAACCACTTCAGCCAGATGAATTGAAAAGTTGCGGCATGCTGAGTTACGCTGCGACAGAATAAACGCAACACAAAACATTAGGGAATCGTTCAGCCACAGACTGTGGCTGTGGTTCAGCATACATGCGCGTATCGTATACATGTATGTTTGCAAAATATGAGTCCCTCCAAACGACTTTATTCAAGGCCAAAAGTAGGTACCTACCTAATTCAATATACCCTGGGTACCTACGCATTTTTCATGCACATGCCAGGTACCGTTTCCTTGGAAACGTGCACTTGAGTGCCGCTTGTACCATCGGACAAGTGGTTCTAGTCGGTGAGCGGAAATTAAACACAATAGAATAAACAAAACCTCATGATTAGTTAGTACCTATACAGTCCATCGAACAGGCCTTTACGATGGTTCAGCTTTCATCGCTATTTACAGAACAAAATTCTATCGGTGTCAGTGTTTTCCGTGCAATGTAATGTGCTGGGTAAATTATGGTCGATAGTAATTTGGAATAGTTATGGCTTATTTTCATGCTTATGCGTGCTCTTCATACAGCCAGTTGCATGCCACTCCGAGATAATAAAGTTTTAACCACCAGCCGAACGACTTCCTGCGCCAAATTGCACGGTTAATGCTGCTGTTACTATGGCCACCCTTCCAAACTACTAAAGCAGCCTGTGTATATTGTGGACAGAATAAGTACGAAGCATGACAGGTTCATTTCAATTCCGTCCATGAGCCTGCTCGGGCTGCCTTTCTGAGCCGTTTGTCACGAACCTAATTGTGGATAACGTCAGGCAAGTGTTTAACCCTCGCTGGCACAGGGGGGGGGGGTTGATGCAACCCCCCTAAGGTTTTTCGCGAATAACTCGCGTAAAAAGTGGCCGATCGCGACGAAACTTTCAGTACCCTCGCATTGTTCAATTTTATACGTTCCCTGAAAATTTCATGACCCTGACCCCAATGACCTTTGACCTGTGACCCCTTTTCCGTGACCATGTTTGGCCGAAATCGCGGTTCGGCGTATGTCGGCTCGCATTAGCCGCGCGTTTGCTAGCTTTTCGTGGTTTCAAACGTTCAAACATGTGATTTGATGTTGCTCCCATACATAGGGTGGGTGTCAAGGTCACCTGAAGGTCAGGTCAGGTCATTGACCTTTGGTGACCTCGGGTGACCTCGGTTCACTTTTTCGAGTTTTACATGTTTCTAGGCTAGTTTTTGGAGCTGAATTCGAATTTAACAACCATTTGAACATTTACGAAGTAGTTTTGGTGCCTTCGTAACATGTTACGAAGCTGTCAGAGGCGGTTGACACGCATTACGAATACCCGTCACAACCCCTACCGGTTGACCTGACCTGACCTGACCCGACCTGGACTAAATGCTTAAAAACATCATCTATGATCAAAACTAACACGATATTCGTGATCAGCACCCCGGAAAACCACATAGCAGCCACACTTTACGACTTTCTAACAGGTCCCGATTTTCCCGGTTTTCGGGTCATTGACCTGACCTGGAAGGTCACCCGATGACCTAGGACCTTAAAATTGGGTATCATCGGCTTCCTCTCGTGACGGGCAACACGCTCGTTTTTTTCCGCGAAGCTCTAGCTCGATCAGGGGCCAAACGCGAGGGGGGTCGTACCAACCCCCCCCCCCCCTTGTGCCGTCGAAGGACGCGAAATGGCCTGTGCCGGCGAGGGTTAAGAGGCTTGGAGATCTACCGTCCATGAACATGTAAACTGGATATTAAAGAGCTTGTCGTTCTGCACTTCGGCGCCAGGGAGTAAAGGTAAATAACTGATGGGTCACGAACAAGAAATGGGGCATATTCATTTCTTTTATCGTGTCATCCCTTTAATCATTTGCCGGAAGCTTCAAGGCAATCGTTAAACCGGTGAAGCTAGGGCGAGTTTTGACTATTTTTCCCGAGTTAAGTTCACTTGGGGTGACCTGGTGATCTGAACTTAATGACCTGACCATGAAATGTTTACATGGGTGGAACATATGTATGATGGGATGCGCCAGAGATGCTGTGGTGCTATTCACGCGAATAACTTTATGAGGAGAGAACTTCAAACGTCCGCTCCTCTCAGCGCGCACGATACGGTGCCAATCTGACGGTGTGTCAGGAAAGACAGAAAGGAAGAAATTCAACTCAGCGTTCCCAGTGATTAAAATGATGTGGTCATTCCAGTTGAGGGTGGTAAACTGGATCCTCGCCGGACCGAGGGTGAAGGGGCGCGGGGGTGGGGTGGTCTCAGTGCGCCCTCCAGCTAAAATACCTCCCTAGCAACTGGCTGGTGTGTACGCGGGGTGACGGAGACGGGATCGATGCCCGGTGACGGCTGTGCTCCCCGGCGCGCCGCCGACAGCTCACTCTGCCCCCGTGACGGCCGGCGCAATGACGCCGCCGATGCTGGCGGTGACGCTGGCGGCGATGATGACGGCCGCCGGCGCCCAGAGCCCGGCGGAGCGCTTCACGGCGCGCCTGGCCAGTGGCGAGCTCCGACTGCCACCCCAGGCGTACCGCATGACCGACCTCGGCGAGCACAACGGCACCCTGCCGGCCGACCTGGTGCTGGCCACCGAGACCGGTCTGCTGGAGCCCTCCTGTCGCCACCGGTGTCTGCACCGGCCCGACTGTCTGGGCACCGCGTACCGGCCCAGCGACCGGCTGTGCCTGCTGTCTGCGCGGCGACCGGCGCCAGATAGACTGGAGCCGAACGAGGAGTCATGGGTACTGGCGGCACGCCGCGGCATCGTCTTCCTTGACGAGTCGTGCGAGCGAGACGAGGACTGTCGCCTGGTCGTGCCGTGGTCTGAGTGCCGAGCAGGCGTCTGCGTCTGCCGCCACGCCGTCTACCGGACGATCGAGGACGAATGCGTGCCGCGGGGTGAGATGGTACCGGCGTCCGGCGGTCGGGCTGCCGACAGCGCCCTGATGAACTCCTGGCCAGCCACAGACGCCGAGACCTGCCAATTAATGTGTACCGTGGAGCTGCACTGCCTGGCCGCCGAGCTGACCGCCGACAGCTGCAGTCTCTTCTCCCAGGGAATCACCAAATCGGCGGACAACAACAGCTCTCAGAGCTGGGCGAAGCTGCTGGAGGGACCGCCCGGTATCCGTCCTGAGGAGCTGTTCCACTTCAACGGCACCTGGTTCATCAACACCGTGACACCGCCGCTGGACTACCTGACGGCCTCTGGGTTCTGCGCCGAGCGCGGCGGAATCGTCTGGCCGGGAGGCTCGGCGGACGCGGAGCGGGCGCTGGAGCGGGCCGGTCTGCTGCCACCGCCCCCCGACAACTTCTGGCTCGGACTGGACGACATCACCTCTGAGGGCCAGTTTATGCGCAGCGACGGCCGGCCAGCCACCGACATACGATGGAGCTCGAACCAACCCGACAACTTCCAAGACAACGAGAACTGCGTGGAGAGCTGGGAGATCGGCAGCGCATGGAACGACGTGGAGTGCGGCGCGCAGCGGCGGTTCGTCTGTCAGAGTCTGGGTAGGAACGTGTCGCTCGGCCGGCCGGCATGGCTGACCTCCAGGAACGGCAACGACCCGGCGCTGGGCACGGACGGCCTGCTGCTCGAGCCTGTCCGCTCCAGGGCGCTGCAGCGCCGCCAGTCGTGGACGGTCGACCTCGGCAGGGAGCACCAGGTGGTCGGCTTCCTGTACGTGCCGCCGCCGGGTGGCGCCGACTCCCTGGGGGGCACCATGGTGAGGGTGGGCTCTGACGCGCTCCGCACGGGCCCCGCGGTGTCCGCGCTGTGCCGTCAGCTCTCCGAGCCGCCGCTGCCCGTACCGATGGGGCGCTACTATGTACGCCTGCGAGTTCCCCGTCCAGGGACGATTCGTTCACGTGGTCAGAAACCACGGAAAGCCGGTGATTCTCTCCGAGCTGATGGTTTTCGGACATCCACTGTACTGACGCGCACCGGCGAGGGGCGGTCTACGATTCAAGACAACACAAAGAAATAAAAGCATGATATATACGAGATAGAGGTCTGGTAAAAGAAACCTGTCCTTTTAAACACAACAAACGGAAATGCAATCCGTGTTGGGCATTATTGTCCTTGGTCTTTGGTAGCACTAACTATGCAAGAGTTAAAACCGTTCATTTCTCGGTTTGGGGTCAGGCTTGAATATGGAAGGCGGAATATATGTCATATGTAATTGACCACGGTGTCCTGTGCTTCAACGTTCGCTGTACCGCTCGGCATCCTGAGCTATGGACGACGTTTTTGTGCTGATCATATTTGTTAAGTCTCGAGCACGTGTGCGGCCAAATGATATAGCCTCAGCAGCTAACGTTATAAGATGATGTGTCAAAGCATTTCGGGTAAGGCCCAAATATTATAGCTTTAATTAATCCATACCACAGTGCATAGTACATACACAATCATAGAAAACGTCGTGTTACTTACCGTCTACCGAGGCGCCAGTGTGCTACGAATATGACCTTTTGTTAGTTGTCATGCACCTATATATGCTCAAAGAAGGGATCAATCGTCATGAATCCAGTTATTGACTTATTGCGCTTTTATTGAGCTTGCAAGCTGCACAACTTGTTTGCATTGTTTTCTTTCAAAGCAATGAAAAAACCGTAGTCAAAAACCTTCCTCGAAAACCCTTTGCCAAAAACCGTCTAGTAAGAACACTGTTACATTTGACCACGTCGGAAAGACGTATGTTACAGCACCTTTTAGTCTCACCATCAAGCGATTTATTTCTCCAATGTCATGAAAATGAATGATACGCATGCGTGTTTTGCGTTGCCGGCTTACAAAGTTTTATCACTTGACTTATTGGTATAATTATTATACACGCCTCCGTGTGCTAAGATGAACATAGGACATTTTCCGCTGCCGTTACCTCTGCCATGACAATTACAGGCTGCAATGCCGGGAACATCGCTGGATACCAGGCCTCTGAAAACAGCATTAAGAAAGACAGGAAATGAATGGACTGTACTGGATGAGGAAGATGACTCAGCAATGCGTACACGACCATTATATTGTTCGCATTCACTCTTTGCGGTGTTGCTTGGTTTGATAAATGGTGAGCGATTTAATCATGTACCCGGGCATGGCATTAGGTACTCACACGCCACGCATACTCACATAAAATCACATAATTGTCGTGGATTTAATTAGATAAAGATATTCAGCCTGTGCTACTGCCTACATAGATTAAAAAGATTAGCATGACTGGCCAAAAATTATGCCCGGGTTACAGTACCTTCGAGTAAAAAAAATTACACCTACTTTCAAAATTTCATGACCTTGAAGTGCTTGAACTAAATTATCCTTGACTTGACCTGTGACCTAACTATTGCTCGAGACCATATTTGGCCGGAATCGCGATTCAGCGTATAATACGCCGAATGTTAGCTCACATCATCCGCGCTTTTCCAGTCCTTGTGATTGTTTACGTTCAAACATGAGAAGTGATGCTGGTCCCATGTATTATGGTGGGTTTCAAGGTCATGTAAAGGTCACTTCAAGTACCTTGACCTTTGATGATTGATTCACTTTTTCGAGTTTTACATGTTTCTATAAGCTAGTTTTTGGAGCTGATTTCGAATTTAGTATCCATTTAAACAAAGCAGTTTTGGTCCTTTCGATAGCATGTTACTTACGACGCTGTCAGTGGTGGTTGATAGCCGGCAAGACACCTACTATTTGACCTGATCTGACCTGACTTGATCCGACCTGGCCTAAATGCATGAAGACAGCATTTGTGATCAAAACTAACGTAAAATTCATGATTGTCACCCCGAGAAACCTAATTAACTTTATTTTACCAAGTTCTAGCAGGTCCCGATTTTCCCGACTTTTGGGTCATTAACCTGCCCTGGAAAGTGGAAAGTCGATCGATAACCTAGGACCTCAACATTGGGTATCATCGGCTTCCTCTCGTTACGGGCAGCACGCTCGTTTTTTTCGCGAATTTCTAGCTTGATCAGGGGTCGAATCAGTTGGGAAACTACACTGAAAACAATTTAACCCAAGGCCCGCGAGTAAACCGGTGTTTTACGGGTACCCCTATCCGCAACCATTTTTAACCACCCTCCCAGGAGTAGGGCTAGGTCCCATTGCGGTGTGTGTACTTGCTCTGAGCGGATATAACCGCTGTCAGCGAACATGTCCGCTGAGAGCAAGGACGACTACACTGCAATCGGACCTTACTGTGCTCTTGGGAGGGTGGTTAAAGATAGTTGCGGATAGGAGTACCCGCGAAACACCGGTTTACTCGCTGGCCTTGGGTTAAATTGTTTTCAGTGTATACGAGGAGCCAAACAAAAATTGGATTAGCCAATCAACGGCTGGAGTGGGCGGGGCGATGACCATATATGGTCATAAAATCGGACAACTTCATCTTTTCAATGCATCCTAGCATTCAAACGAAAAATAAGGCATAATAATGTTTTTTAACCACACAAGGCCCACACTCACTCGGTGCACAATTAACTGGCGGCTCTAAATCGCAGAGTTACAACACAAGGTCAATCAGTGATTGGCAAATATGGCGGATTGAAACAGATGCGCCAAAAAATGTAAGCAGTACCGTGGTTTAAAAATGTCATTATTTTTATTATTTTGTTTTTGGTTTTTCTAATTGTGGTTAAGTTATTATTTTAAAATTAAATATCTTTGTTTATTGTTATTAAATTAAATCTTTTAAAAAAAATTCTTTCAAAACACCAATCCATTTATTGAAGGGCCAGCTGATTGTAACGCTCAGAACCTGCAGAAAAGCCGTTTTCCTATCGCCATTTTCGAGTCAATTCGCCGAATCTAATCAAATCACGCTAATTCCTAGTGGAAAATGGAAGCCTTTGCCCTTTTCTCTCCGATAAGTGGACGCGATACCGCAAGTACCGGCTTGTTATACCGTTTTTCACCCTTTGTAGCGGGGACTGCATTTATGCCCATATATGGTCATCAAAAGTCCATTTGTTGACTCAATCAATTTTTTGATTTTTGCCTCGTAGTTTCCCCAACTGAATTGGCTCCTCGCACCGTGCAGGACGGTGACTGACCTACCGTCCCGTGTCACGGGACACCTGCCATGACACCGGGTAGCGGTCCACTAATGGGCATAGTATACCAGCCTGCAGCAGCTGTGTGCGGGTCTGTCGTCCTGTCTCATAACTCGCCAATGCGCGATGGCCATGGACGCCACCGCCGCAGGGTAGGTATAATCTTTTCACTCATGGTCTTAGCTAGTTACACAATACACATGCGCAGTGCCCATCGCAGACTGTCGGCATAAAGAAGTTTTATGGGAAAAAAACTACCCCCATTTGTAGCACAACTGTATACGGAGGCGATTACGGAACGGACGAGTGTCGAGCTTCTAGATTGAGCTCTCAGCTTGGGCTCTCATGGGTGACCGTTTGGACGGTAAACATTCAGCTGTCGGAACGAAGTTGGGGTTTTATGGACAGAACGATGGCATATGTTTCCTACACAGCCGCACTAATGCAGCGGTTGCACCCATTTTTAAATACTTATTTGTACATGTTTGCATGCCAGTGAACGCTGCTCCGCAGTCTCAACATGACCATAACCATATGCTTCGGCTCAGTTTCAGTCATTGCATGGTTTTGCGGTGTTGACTTCACATACCAGCGCAGCGAGCGGCACAAATGTTTGGTGCGTGGGTGCTTTGCCAGACTTTCCTCCCCTCCCCTCGGTGTACTTTGCTATACTCCGAACTCCGGCGCACTCTGAAACGGTGTATGCAGCTCCAGTGTACTCCGGTGTACCCTGAACCAGTGTAGGTACTCGCAGTACCACACTGCCCGGCATCAGCCGCTGCCCTCTTCCGGTGAACCCTGAAGCAGTGCATAGGTACTCGCAGTACCACCCTGCCCGGCACCGCCCGCGGGCCTGCTGGAATCAGTGCACTCGGCCTGTGACCACTTGGTCCGGTCAGTGCATACTGAATGCACTCCTGAAAATAAATAAGGATAAAAGCATGTAAGCCATGTCTGCGCTTCAACATGGTAAAAGTAGCGCCATGATAGTCAAATAAATGTTCTGCACTGTCCTGCATATTGCATAATGAGACAATTTCACAAGCTATCCTCGAGAATGACCAACCATTTTGGACAAACAGATGCAAAATCGCTTTTCAAATGGACGACAAAGGCTAATTTTGGATTATTACAGGATCTAAGAACCGAAATAAAACTGAACCAATTCCACCGAAAAGTGTTTAACTGCAAACTACCCCCTCATGCTATCCCATGTGGTTCTGTGAAAATAACCTTAAATTGCAGTCTAAAAGCGGAACAAAACGGTCGAGCACACAAAACAGTCAGCCTTTACCTATACGACTGATTTTACCATGAACAGTTCGTTTAAAGTGACCATCTCACCTTAACATTAGTTTTGGGTTGAAATAGCCAAAATGGGGTCCCTGGCTTGCACTTACCGGCTTGAACACTCACAAGATCGAACAATGCCTCAAATCGAAAACATCAAATTTCAAAGTTGCAGCACTTGGATTCAGAGGGACTAATGCATGAGAATGCCCCCTCTGAATGTGTGACGTCAGCGCAGACCTAACGATTTTAAATCTTTTACTAAAACGTTTGGAAGCACGCAGTGGTATATGCTGCTTTGCGCGCAACAAGTGCCGCACTTTCAAATAAACTCGCTAGGAACAGCGGAGATCCCAAAAAGTAAGCAAAAGTAAAAGCCTAATATCTTGAAAACCGGTGAATATTTTTCGATGAGATTTGGTAGATATTCGTTTTCGCTCTTTCTGAACCGAGCAACATCACTTTCATGCCAATTAATTAGCTTTTTTGAAGGTGGGAGGGTCCCTTCTAAATTGGCAGAGAACATTTAGACATGTACGACCAGTAAAACGCCTTTTGGGCGAAGAACGAGCGAGCGAGATAGTGAGCCCTGCACGTGCAGAAGGGCGAGAGGGTACTTCCAACGGGCTTGTGCAAAGCACCCTTCTAACCGGTTGCTAGCGGTGTACCAAATTTGAACGCAATCGGCACAGCCGTTCCTGAGATCTGGAAGCGGCATTCTGCACGTGCGCACGTGCAAACGGGGTCCAAAATGAAAATGACTTTTGCACGGCACCCTACTAACCGGTCCCCAACCGTGTACCAAATTTGAGCGCAATCGGCCGAGCCGTTCTCGAGATCTGGAAACGCCCCCTGCACGTGCGCACGTGCAGTAGCACCCTAACCGCAACACATGGGAATGCATTGCCTGGTGGGTGCCTACCTGTATGCCAAGTTTCAGCGAAATCGCCCCAGTAATTACCGAGTTACTGAAATGGGAACAAATTTGGCACCTCTTATTGTTGTATTTTGCACGTGCAGTGGGGGTCACTCACATA